GGCCCCCAGGGCCCCCCCTGCCCCTTGCAGCCCAGCCAGGGCTGCTGAGCCACCAGGGATGCCACAGGGAACCACCAAGAGCTGCCCAGTGCCAGTGCCACAGGAGCTGACGCACCACTCAGCACCTCTGGCTGGGCTGCACAAAGCTGCTGCACCATGTGTCCAGGACCCCTCAAAGCCCCGCACTGTGCTGCATGATGCCAGTACCGCAGGAACCGGTGCAGCACCGGGTGCTCCCAGCTATGCCGAACAACGCCAGCTCCACGGAGACGGTGCAGCACCAGGAATCCCTAGCTGTGCCGCACGATGCCGGCACCTTGGAAGCTGGTGCCCTGCTGAGAACCTCAGCTGTGCCGCACGATGCTGGTTCTACAGACGCGGAGCAGCGTCGAGTACCACGGCCATTCCACACAATACTGATGCTGTGGGAGCCAGTGCCCCACCAAGGGCCATCGGCTCCACTGCATGGTGCCAATGGCGAAGGCGGAGAGAGTTTGCAGAGACGGTCGCAAGGGACCATCCCTGCCCTCATCATAACGTACCCCAGGCTGGGCAGCGGGGGCGACGGGGCTGCCCCCACCCTTGCAGCGCTGGCTGCTGCCGCCCCCGGGCCCCACCCGCAGCTGCTCCAGCTATTTATACCACAGGATAGGACAGAACATGACAGCGCAAGCCGCCATCACCAGGCAACCGAGAAACACAACAGCAGCGCCGGGACGCAGCCTCCGGCACAGAGCCGCTCACGGCACGGCACCACGCAGGGCCCCTCTGATGACCTCCTCCTCCTGCAGCCCGGCCTATAAAGGCATTGGACCGGGCAGGATGCAGCGGTGCCAGCGTCGCACCTGCCCCACGGAGCAGCCCCGGCTGCCGCAGCCCCCATGCAACATCACACACCCCAGCCCGCTGGCGCAGCCCCAGGTGGCAGCAGCCCCCACTGCCTTCTCCACGTCTTCCCGCCCCAGGCACAGGCAGCTCTGCAGCGGGAGCATCCGGTGCTCCCGCCTGTGCCTGCCAGAGCAAAAATAGGCAATGGCTCCTCCTCTCTCCACAGGCTGCAAGGGGATGGGGTGGGGAGCCCTGGCTCTGGGGAGGCCCCCTGCGCGGCGGCACACGCCGAGGGCTCTTACTTCTACTGGGAGAGTTCCAGAGGGTGGCAGAGGATTTGGAGAGGCGCTTGTTGATTATAGAGTCCACGTGTTTGGGGAGGTTTACGGCCGACACTGAGCACCGGCTCGCACCTGGAGGAGGGAAAAGACACAAGGGTGTTAAGGAGGGGGCACCGGGGCAGGAATGGGGCGGCATGCAGCATGCTCTGCCCGGCACGCAGGCTCTGCGGGAGACCCAGAGAGGAGCCAGAGGTGGCAATGTGGGGTGGTGCACGGCACCCAATCCCGTGCTGGGAAGGGTAATTGCTCGTGCGGGGACTGTCATGCAACATGGTGCTGGGGCACCGGGAGCGGAGTGGTCAGAAAAGCCCTTGGAGTGGGCAGCGCCCAGGACAGCGAGGGCACAGAGAGACATGGGACTACTCTTGCACCAACTCTTTGCAGCGCTGGGAAGATGCTGATGCTCAGCAGCACCTCGACAGCTGCTCCAGGCAGCCCCCATGCTGGTAGCGCTTCCATCCTTGCGGATGCCGCAGGAAAACCCAGAGGATGGCAGAATCACAGAACCACTAAGGTTGGAAAGGACCTTTGCAGACTATCGAGGAGAGCAGTCAGACTGGGCCGGACTTGCCAGGCTGGACACCACAGCACCACACGCACCCAGGAGCATCCATCCCTGCACAGGGGACCAGGGCCGCACTGCAGCGCCTACAACAGCACCCACACATGGCTCCGCAACAGCAGCACAGACCGGGGTGGCGCAGCCGGGCCATCCCACGGCATTGCCAGCAGCCGAATGGGACCTTCCTGGGACTGAGTCCCATCAGTGCCCACAAACGCTCCTGCGCTCACACCAGCCCTATGAATTTGGCACCATGAAAACAGCCAAGAGACCCTGAGTGCCACGGTGCAGCCAGCGATCCCGCAACCCGGCACGACGGCAGCGCATTGGGGACACCGCAATACCCCGCACTCACCGTCCTTGTGTGCGGGCGAGCCATGGTGAAGGGCCCCAGCCCACGACCAACGCTGCTGCCGGATCTCTGCCCATGTCTTCTTGGCCGATCGCTGGATCGCCGCCTCGTAGCGCTCCTGCCCAGAGAGAGGGATGTGGTGAAGGCAGGAGCTGGGCACAGGCCGCAGGGCCCGTGACCGCCGCAGCGAGGAGCCTCTGCCACTGAGCACTCATCGGGTGCCGACGCCGACCCGCCACGGACGAGGGAGGAGTCCGGGCCAGGACAAAAGGGAGCGCGGGAACCCCATCGGCTCCAGAACAAAGGGGAAATGAGGGGAGAAAGAGCACTGGGACAGGGAGAGGGGCCTGGGACGAGAGGCCATGTGCCTCCCGTGCACCCGGCAGCATTGCACAGGCTGGGGCACCCACAGGACACCTATGGACCTGGCCGAGCACCTATGGACCCTGCGGACGCCTGCACTAAGGGGGCAGAGCTGCAGGCTCAGTTGCCGCCGCCACCCTGTGCACTCAGACACTTGCCGCCCCCA